AAGAGTAGTCTCTACTCATAGGATGTATGGTCCTTTAACTGTCATATAGTCATGTCTCATGAAGGAGAGAGGGAAGTAGTGTACGAGGTAGAGCCAGGTAGTCACTGGAAGTGAAAGTGGTGAACTAGATTGTTATCTAGGGTTATGTTAAGGTCGCCCACGGCAATTAGGATGCCTTCTTGAAATTTTTCCAGTTTAGTGAGTATTTTGCGTAATGCTTGGCATTGTTTCTTGTTCAGGGGGTACATGTTCATGAATGTGAACATCGTGTTACCCACCTTCCCCTTCATGAAGATGTATCTGCCCGCTTCATTGGTCAGTTGGTCTTTAAATGTGAAGGGCATATGTGCCTCCACTAATATCCACACCCCTCTAGACTTGGATTCGGAGTAGTGCCTAAATGAGCTTAATGGGAATTTATAATTTCGGAGTGTGGGTACAGAATATTTTCAGGGCTAGGTTTCCTGGATAAACACTATCGCTGCTTTGAGTCTATGGAAGCCTGCTAAGGCTTGAGATCACTTTTCTGGGTTTATTGAGACCCTGGGCATTGAAAGAGAGAATCTTTAGTATGGCCATATGGAAGTTGGTGCATACGTAGTATCAGTAATTGGACCCTGTCTATGTCAGAGGTTGTCCGCACAGTAGAACCTAGTGTTTGGCACAACAAGCAACTCAATAAATGTACATATACCGGTTCAGGAATAGGAAAGGCAAAAAATAGTCTATGACTTGCCGAGGGAGAATAGTCCCTGTATGAGGTGGTATAAGTGGACTCAGTGGGGCCAATATACTTCTAGTTTGGAGTAAGGGTGACACGGAGGGGTAGGGAAGAGGTATGCGGGGGGGAGGGGAGGAATGTTAGGGAAGGTGAAAGGAGAGGGGAACACGAAATATGGATGGGGTGAACGCTGTAAATGTGGTGGGAGTAAAGAGGGAATTAGATTCACAGTTTATCAAGAGGTGCGATAGCACAGGGGGTGGTACTGTAGACAATGCAACAGTGGTGGTAAGTGGTCATCAGTCTGTCCCAGTGCAGGAGACAGGTAGAGTTGTCGGGTGTGTAACATGTGAAATGCTTGGATCAGATAAATCCTAAATACAGTTGTGATAATATTAAGGAGACTTTTATATCTAATGTATATTAATGTAATTGTAGTAGTATAAATAAAGAGGAAACAAGATAACTGTAATAAAAATGAACCATAAAACATAATAAATAATAGTGTAGTCTACCCTCATCATGCTAGTTGATCTGATAGAGGTTAGTGAAGGCACAGGGAGACCAACTATCAAACCTACAGGAAAGGAAACATTCTTCTGCCTAGGATCGCCTGTATCAGAGTAAAATGAACACCTTTTGAGAGGCAGTGTAACTTTTATACATTCAGGCGGTGGTGTAAGATCCCAGGACACAGGCTAAAAAAGAAGGAAAGAGATTAGAATAGTGAGGAGAGTAGGTGGAGTAAAGAGAGTGAATAGGTGAGTAGTAAGGAGTAGATGGAGAGTGGCTGACCATTAGTATCCCTATGGATCTGTGTAGAGAGGTCTATACCCTGAGTGGGGATTGATTTGAGATATATATAGTAGGATGCATTATGGCTTAGACATACGTATAATCTACAGAACTTTAATCATCCTGTTCACAATCCCCTAAAACTTCTCATTGGTGCCAATGAGTGTTACCCATATTTTAGTGTTTAATGAAATGAGATGAAATAGGTCAGTTATATAAAATTAAGTATGATTCCCCCCCCCCTCTTTTTTATCCCTTTTCCACTTCTTGTGTGGATAATTCCGAGTGTACTTGATGCCTGGTCCTTGGCATGTATATGGGTCCTTTCCCCAGTTGTGCCCTCAGCTCACTTTGAGTCCATTGTCAAGTCCTCTCAATAGACCTGTTGTGGATGTGAGATTGCTTAAGACATGCGGAGGGAAAATATCCGAGCGAGCGTCTTAAGAGAGTCCATGCCGATTGCAGGCTCCTCTCCCTGGAGGTGGGTTTGGAGGGTCCGTTCTTCTTTTTCTGGACGGGGTGTTCCACCTCGTTCATAGTGGCATCTGTGTGGTGTCTTGCGCTGGTTGTGGTGTGTCAGTCAGGAAGATCCAGTGCTTGTAAGAAGGGTTACACATACATGTGGGTGGATATAGAGTGTGTGGTTCCATGATGCATGACAATTAGGGCAAAAGAGTAGCCCCATCTATACTTCAAGTTATGCTTCCTCAAATGCTTGGTTATAGGTTTCAGAGCTTGTCTAGCCTGGAGAGTGAGCAATGACAGGTAAGGGTAGATTTGTACTGGGTTGTCATGAAAGAGGAGAGGAGGCGAGGTGGATTTTAGTGTTCGCAGGATGTTGTCTATCACTGTAAAATAGTGTAACTGGCATATAATATCTCTTGGCACCTCGTCCCTGCCCCTCTTGGTCTCAATGAATGGTGGACTCTTTCGAAGACTATTGGGGTATCGTGGCCATTCTAAGCAGACGGTTAATTAGCTCTGTTTGCTTTATTTTCTGCCTCTGCTAAGCCTGGATTCAGAGATTGTTTGACGGCCCCTAATATCTGGGTCGTCCATGTCACACCGAATGTGAGTAAAGAGTTGGGAGTGTGAGACAAGTGGGGATTTGAAGCATGGGTCACATCACTATCTTCTTATGTAGTATAGACTACGAGACAGGCAGAGGTTAAGGTTAACAGAGATACACAGAATTGATAGTAATGTCAAGGTCAGGATAACAGAGAGCAAGAATAGTCAAACAAGACGAGGTCAGAAAACAGTAAATCCAATACACTGCATAAACACACTCTCAGGTAAGAAGAACCATGACAGGATAAGGAAACAAGGACAACCAAGAAATATATAACCTACACTGGGTTGTGATTGGTTATAGAGAACCATGATGTCACAAGTGTGTATACCTTATCAAAAAGTGCCACATAGAGTGGCATTATAAAAGGAGACCAATTAAATGGTTCCATGTCATAATGAGGCACCAGTAAGCTAGGCATGAGTGGGTGTGCATCTGAACACAGAAGAGACATTTATGTGACTGCATGTCACCACATTGGACAGGTATAGTAACATGGTTCAACTGGAAAGATCTACAACCAATTTGACTTTGATCAATGGCTCCATAATAGCAATACATGTTACAATCATATTAGATTCAAGGGTGCCATCCCTAGAAATGTCACAATTGATAGAACTGATTTTATTTTAATCACTGCCTTTTTACAGAATAAAGTCAAGTAGAACCTTTTTTATTATCTATTCAGTTTAGTTTTAATATGCATTTTTGTTGTTTTTGTTGTGGTCTTTAATGTATACAAGAAAATGCATATAAGAAGTTATCTTTAACTACAAGCATTTATACAATTTGAAGTCTTGCTTTATTTACAGTATACATATAATTGAACACACTTTTTGCAGCCGAAGTAAGATTTTAATTAAAGCACCACTAAAGTCTACTCAGTCATCTCAATGAAGTGGTCATGTAGGTTAAAACTTGCTATGTAAAACATTCAATTTTTTTAGAGGTAAACTCTAAAAAAAAAGTTTTGATTTTAGAGTTAAACACACAGTGTTACACTGATCGCCAGTAGAGTTCATTTATTGAATTTTTATCAGAAAACTTGGGACCGAGTTAAGAAACTTAATGGAGTTGCAGTGTAAATGGGCCTTAATGTCCGACCTAGATGTTGTAAAGAACTCTTGTACATTTTTTAGGACCATGACAATACCATAGCACAAATCTGAGATTTCACATATGTAACGGATCACCTTGCACCCTGACTGGGTACCTCTGTTGAAGGATGCTCCTAGCGCTTCCTGAGGACTCCAAGCACTGCAGCAGACACCACAACCACCGAACCAGAGAAGCATACGAATGCTCTCAAGCATATGAATGCTGTAAGCAGCTGAACAGGAAAAGCATACAATCAGCTTACACTCCTGGCAATCAGCATACAATCCAATTCCCTCAATAACGAGACGACACTTTGTTTTGAGGTCAAGCAGAACTGACTGTACTGGCACATACAGCCTATTTTATTCACAATCCACAAACATAGTACTGCCCACAGGGTTTTGAGATACAACCAATCAATCCGTACAATACACACAGACACTCCCACACAAAATCCTCCCCAAAATCCTCCCCAATACTGAACACAATGGTTAAAATAATTATCACAGGCAGAGAAATACAGTATAATAAAACATATCACAGGGAGCCCAAAACATGCAATAACCCCATAAAAATATCCTCGGAACCAGGGAATCTGAGTGAACCACATATCCAAAATCCGGATCCGTTCAGTAGTTTGGAAGATACAGTTTAATGCAGGTTCCGCAGAACATATACAGGCTATATGAAAAATAATTACTGTATAATGTGTCCCCTGTTGTATAGTCTAAAACTACTGAACGATGTCTTTGTGCACCAAATACCGGCGAGATGGCACCGTGTAGAAAAGTCAAAACAGTGTCTGTGAGTTAAAATGGCCGCCATCCATTGTTCTCACCATGTGCTTCATCCATTGTTCTCACCATGTGCCTCTGATACATGAAATGGTGGCCACCCAGTAACTCCACAGTTTGTCTGGTAGTCTATCCAGCCAGACCAACAGATGAAACACATGTGGAACAGTGCAACAAACGAAGGAAATCATAAAAATATGGACAATAGTCATATTTGTGCACAATCTCCAGTTTTGTCACAGGGCTCAAATATTGTTTTCAAATGCCATATATCCCAGGGCCATAGTCAGAAGGTAGGAGGCAGGCAAGCAGCCCCCTCCAAGAACACGTGGCGAGGTCTGTTCTGCCACAACATATATTAAAGATCTAGAAAGTAACCCACATAATGAACTATAGACACTGCATATACAGACAGAACACAAATGACTGGTTACATTACATATTTATAAAATAAAAAGTGTTCCAATTCAGACAAAAGACTCTGTAGTTGTAATTTAATCATAACAACCAAATAGGCTCTAAAACCACACTTTATGCGTTTCACCTTGGGGTTTCATCAGAAGTGAAACCCCAAGGTGAAATGCATAAAATGCGGTTTTATAGCCTATTTGGATCGTTTTAAATAGTATTGTTGCGTTTTATGTTGTAATAAAGTTAATCCTTTTAAGTTTTATTTATTTGGAATTTTACTCTATTACATATTGACTTCCTGGTTCCACGAATTCCAGGTTGGGATAATACCACCAACACGCTAAAATACTAGAGCAGGTCCATGCTCTGGAAAATGTAAGTAGGATACCTAGCTTTTACTCTATACAGTTTAATGCTTTTATACTGTACCATTGGATATCTCTACTTTTTGTATTCACATATATTGTTTTCTGCAGAAATACCATCATCACTGCTGTACTATATCCTTAGATGGGTCTTATACCATCAACGCTAAATACAGCAGAGCTCTCAGTAGCTCTATAAAGTGTGAGTGTACCTATTTTACACTATTAAATTTTAGTTTATTGTTAAACATATTACACTGTTTTTGTGTCCTGTCTTTATTTTTCTCCTTGCACTGCACCCCCGCACTGTAAAGCAAACATTTTTTTCTGATGTATGTATGTATATACCGTGTGATCACCTTTAGAGGTTATTCGTTTTTAAAGTGAAGTCTATCTATTGTTTGTTTGAAATGTGATAACCTACCTGGCTATTTAGGTCATGGAGACCTCTGCATATCAGCTTCCACAGAGGTGACAAACTGCATATCCCCTTAAATAGGGTCCACCATTGCATATTTCATTTAATGCTGATATCTAACATTACTCAATGAATAAATAACACACAGTAATTTTTGTTTGTGAGTCCAGTGCTTTCCAATGTACAGCATAAAGAAAAATTCTAGAGGTGCACAAAAATAAGAAATGACTACAGGTGGCTTAACTGATTTGCTGCAAGTTTTAATGACGCTAAATGCTTCTGCAAGTATAGTAAAAAATAGTGGCAATGTCTATTTAATTAGATTTTGTTCAATATCCAAGTCATTATAGCATTAACTCATCACTGTATGGTCCTGTTACAATATATATTGTCATTAATGTTAATTATCTTTCACTCAGGCCCATCGATTTAATAATCTCATTCAAAACAAATATATAATGTCATTGAACCTAATTATCTTTTCTCCAGGCCTGATTTGCAAATATATTAATAATCCTAAGTGAAATTCTTAACTGTCAGAGAGTTAAACAAACACATTAGACAGAATAGCGTAGGGAAATAAATTAATAGTATTCTTACAACCTTAATGTAATGTAGTTAGCTGAAAACATTTTTTGGTATTAATAAAGTATCTTCTAGATTTTTAACAATTTCCGATTCTAGGGACAGACTCCCTTCTCTCTTTTTTCATTAATATAAATAGTACTGTGAACAGACTTATATAAACCAAAGACACGTAATGATGAGAAATTATTAATACTTTAAGATTAATTCACCTTTTATTTTATTTTTTACAGTTGTGCCCATTTAAACATATCTGTTAATGAAACATTATCTATAGTTAGATTTTTATTTCTTGAACTTTTTCCTTGTCTTACAATAAAAAAGTCATGTTATTCTTTGTGTGCATCTTAAATTGATACTGTGTACAATCATGAATACAAAATTGAGCATTATTTTTATGGTAGCAATAACTGCCAAAGCATGCAGTAATAAAGAAACAAAAATGTATTCTTATTGTGATCAAGTTTCAAGTGACAGAATTGCAAACAGAAATCTTTCACTAGCTATTTTTGTACCCAAATTGTACAAGTGCCATCATTACATAAAAAATGACTTTATCTCATTACTATAAATCAAACTGTTGTGTAGGCTGGAAATAACAAGCTATTTTACATACTATAAAATGTTTCTTTCCACATCTTTTATATTCTAGCAAAAAAAGGAAAATACAATCATATTGTGTTAGTAATTTACACTTAAAATTACTCTCAAAGCGAAACTAACCAGCTGAGCAATCACATATGCCCACTAGAATTGCACACAGTGAAAAAAATGGTTTGGCTGAATAAATTTGTGTGGAAAAAAACTGTTGTTGTGTATGGGGTCAGTGCAAGGATTTTTGTCTACACAGATGAAGACGGATTTTGCCACCCACCCAATAAACAAAAATGCATCTTCACCCGCCTCTTGAACATCTTACCCCCTTTTGTGTTTCTTATCCCCTCTTTTAAATGTCTTACCCCGTTAGTGTTTCTCTTCTCTATTTCCCCTCGCAACCCCCCTATCTCATGGCCGAGGAAGAGGTGTTCAGACTCTCAGAAGCACTAGTGATGGATTTGGGAGCACTATCCCTTACCCTTCCTCAATTTATTCTTGAGATTAGGACACAACATTGATGATGGTGGTTTTGTTTTTATTATCAAAATAAATTTGGGATATGTAAACTATACAACTATATTCAAAAATAAATGTTTGTGTTGCAAAATGGATTGCTACTTGATGTATTTTCTAATGTAATATTATTAAGTCTGACTTTGAGAAACACTGCACTGCACACAGTGCACTGCACAGTGTTCACACACTTGTACAGCACACACTGGACTGAACATACACACACACGCACTCAAACAAAATTACAAAATTATTTTCTTTCTATAAACTCTTTAAAAAAAAAAGACCTGTCAAGCTATATATTATGGATTCCACATTTGTAAATGACAGTGGCTAGCTGTAGACACAGCACTAGCTGTAACCTCTAGCATCACACTAGGATGAATGAAACAGGCTATCTCCCACTCAAATTTTGAGTGCCGCTGCAGCAGTAGCTAGGCAAGAGAAACCTTTTTTAAATTATTTTTCCTATTTACTGAACAACAAAAAAACAATTTTCTTTCTAAACACATTTGATAAAAACACCTGTCAGTCTGCAAATTGGTGATTCCCAGTTGGTGTTGAGTGGCAGTGGCTAGCAGAACGCACACAAGTAACCTAAAAACTAATCTCACACTAGGCTAAATGACAACAGGCTATCTTCCACTCTGATACAGACATAGCAGTGCTAAAACACACAATCAGTAATGATTGTCTCCCTCTTAGCTGCAGCCAAAGTGTCTGAAAGAATCCTGCTTGCAACTATTGATTGTTTTACTGTTTCTCTTTTTTCCATCTGTTGGTCAGTTTGCCACTCTGGGGTACAGAAGAAATGTATTCCTAGTTTGTTACAAAACTGGAAAGAGCTTCAAACGTATTTTTTGTCTTCTCTTAGATCAACAGCAAAAATGATGTGAAAAAGGCTGAACTCAATGGACACATGTTTCTTTTCATCTATGTAACTATAGTATTTAGTGGCTTTCCCCTAACCATTAATCATCCTTATTCACCTCTTGATAGAACAGGTGATACAGTCCACACATTTGGTCTGTCCATCATGGTAAACTAAGCTGCTTATTTTCACCCACATACCAAAAAAGAAAAAAAAAATAGATTCTACATTTTCTCCTTTGTTTCCAGTTTTATTTGGGTTGTCAGCAATTCTGACCACCTTTTTTCCCGGTGTCAAGAATAGAACTCTAGATCATGAATCCAGATCATGAATCAAATCAAGCATGACTGTCCATTGTGCACGTTTTTTGTTTCATGAATTGGCGTTAAAGAATTTGGATAATCACCCAATAGCCTCAAATTTAGACGAATTACAGTTCAGGATAAACCTAATCTTTAGATATACTGTACTATATTGGTCAAAATGATCAGTTTGTACTAGATTAGTGTATACAGTATATTTTAGTTCTCATATTACTTGCAGAATTTTATTTGGGTTGTCAGCGAGATATCAAATATGTACTAGAGGAGTTTCCATAGACACAACATTGTATTCACTAAACAGTAATTTATGATGAACTTAAAACCAAATTACAAAATGTAGATCGATATACAGACGTTTGCAAAATTTGCCAACTCTGATATTTTCAAAACATGATTACATTTCACATTATTTAACTAATAATATACATTTACTTAACCTTTTTTCACAATCTGAGTGCAGATAGTCAGAGAAACTACAGAAAAACAGATAGTGATATCCTCACTACATGCTTCTCTGCGGTAGTACCCTAACAATAACATTACCCGAACATTCATTTCACACGAACATTAACAATGTTAATGTAATATAATGATATATAATATTATGTAGTATAAAAGATACATGTTAATTAGGTGTGTATCAATGCCATATTACAGGTATGGAGACACAAGAATTAGAATTCTTCAAAAGCTATATTTTCTCACAATACAAATTTCACTGTTACATACACATGTTTTTGTGTGTGTTTGAAAAACTCAGAGTTGGACTTACTATAGAATTTTAACAGATTTAATCTACTACAGAACCTCAGTAATGCCCACTATTCCTATCTTCATGCTGGAGTGATATTGTTGTAAATTATGTTTTCTGTTTTACGTGTTGTCATCTCAGCTCCCAGAATCTTTATAAACATACTGATGTTTCATTTCTCAAAAAATATATATTTTATATAATTATTGAAAAGGTCTAGATATGAGATTGATACACCATTTAATAATCACTAATAATCATTGTTGCAATGAAAGTAAAAACACAAGTTCTACTTGCTGAGCATGCTATTTATATGAGTGGCCTCTAGTTTCTCTGGGCTATGGGGTGGAGAGTCATATAACAACTATATAATGCCATGGTCATGTTTGAGCCAATAGTGACCACATCATGTTTGTGCATTCTATTCAATTCCTTAGATACAAATAATTTTAAACTTCAACAATGATTTATGATATTATATTAATAGCCATAAAACAATAATTGCACAATGGAAAGAATGCATTAATGGAATGCAAATTATTTCAGTAATAATTGTCCAAACATACCTATTTTGTGTGGGTGGGAAGCATTTTAGAAACTTCTATTTTTAAATATTCTATTTTTTTATTTCTTAAAAATATGCCTTTAACTAAAAATAATTGGTTTCTACTCACATGCAACATAAGGAAAGAAGAAGCCAATACTTTGGCCTAAAGACATGTGGTGTATGACCTAAGTATTGATATTTCATAAGAATTAAGGTAAATCTGCAAAA